TAAGTGACCGAAGCTGTTCACCATTGACGTTGGCCCTACATTTCCAGATCGTCCTCCGGAACGACACTTCCAAACAGGAAGTGAAGAGTTTGGGGGAGCTGGTGTCCCCTTGTTTTATGCCCTTTTGTAGGGGGTCGACCAATCTGATGTTTGTAAAGCAGCTCAGTTAGCTTACTTCAGTAGGTTAATCTATCTTTACACTAACACTAAGTTTGGTGTCGATGCCCTGCTCTGTCAGCACAGTCCACACTGCGCTGTACCTGGAAGTGACGAACACTTTATCGTTGTCAACGAAGGACTATGCATGGAGCCGGATGAAACTTCCTCACGCGCTCGAGGAGGTGACTCAAAGTAAAGATGATATCGGTTGTGACGTAATTCCTTTGTAATCCTGCGTGTTCTCTTGGCTGCTGTTCGTTCTGACTATTTGACAGTGTGTTGGTGATAATCTTACTGAATTGCTTGTAGACTTGTGAGAGCAGGAAGGCCGGATGACGGATCTTCTGAAATTCTTTCTCGTCCTTCCTGAACAGCATAACTGTTTTTGACTACTTCGAGCTTGATGGTCCCTTTTCTGCTTCCAAGCAACAAATGAACCTCTTCTTTAGACCCTTTCATCTTCAGCCATCTGCTCTAATCATTTCAATTGTCAGTCCTTCTATCCCTGGGTTTCTTCATTCTTTCATTTGGTGCGCGGCTTGCCCAGTTTTGCTAATGAGAACCGGGCCGCTAGAGCGATTGTGGTGGGACACGTGTCTTTTATGCGAGGATATGGTTTTAAAGTTCCTGCAGATCAACTGTATCTCAAGTCGGTTAGACGGTAATGCGCCATCCCCGTTGTTCAACGCCGTCATTATCGATTGATAAAACACTAACTCTCTTGTGCGGTGTCTGAGCCTTCCGTGGTTTTCGACTGTCTTCTTTAATTTTCGCAATCGGTAGGTTTTGACGTCTTCCTTTAGCTTTCATCTAATGAGGCTGCAAAGAAGAGAGTACTTCACCATGTAGAACCTACCACAGTTTATTTTTTTTCTAGCGAACTATGTTTTTTCTCAGATTATTTCTTTCACTCTCTTTGATGCTACCATCTCTGTGACTTTCGCAGAGCCTCAGTTTTTGGCGAACTTCTTATAGTTATCGTTGCAGCTGCCTTTCAGGCTCCAACTTTCGCAGGAGATGAGCGTTTGGAGCACGGCTTTGTCGAATACCTTCGGTCGTTGTCTGCAATTTGAGGTCTGCATTGCCATCCTCTCGATCTTCTCCTCAAATGTCACCCAGGCCTGCACCAGTCTGTGGTCGCTGCCAGTGTTAAATGATGGCATCCCTGCTATATCTTGGATGATGGGGTGTTTACTGAACAAAACCAAGTCGATCTCGTTCTCCACCGCTTCGTTGAAAGCGTTCCATGTTCAGCCTCTGTTGGTCGTCTTCTGAAACGAAGTATCGACACTGCGCAGATGTTTCGTTTCTGCCATCGTCGCCAGCGGATCCTTTCGCTCATTTCACTCTCCGACAAACTTTTTGCACGACCCTTCCTCGCCTGCTTTGGCAGCGAAGTCTACCATGACTACGTTATACGTGGACTTTGGGATCGATGCCTGTTCGACATCTTGGTGGAATTCCTTCTTGTCTGATGTAGTCAAGGGTTCATATGTTTGAACCAGCGTTCAGTTGAAGGAACAGCATACTCAGTTTTGACGACTTCACATGGCAAGAAACAATTTTGCAGTATGAGCTTGTGCTGATTACAAATTTTATTCCTCCTACGTTCCTCACGTCCCCTCCTTTTACTAGCCAAATCGAATTACCGTCCTTCCAGATCTGATTCATCTTCTTCTGCTGTCGTGTCTGCCAGAGGCCAAGGATATCGCACCCCATCTCTGACATTTCCTCGATTGGTTTGTTCAGCTTCTCTGTTTGCACATGCAATTGTAGAAGTCTTGCAAAAGAAGTCAAGGTCC